ATAGAGACCGTTGGTCATTTTTGCACTTGCATAAAATATATCATTTCTAAAGAGAGAAAGAGTTTTGTCTTTTACAAGGAATGAAAGTCCTGCTTTGTCAAGGCAGGATACAGAAATGATGTTTCTGCTCATACTAGGTACAAACAGACAATTATTCAAATGCAATATTAGACCACTAGGTAGAGATAAACTATAGGTTCCGACGGCCAATGCATAGACGAGTGCGCCATTGCCGACTTTTAGTTGTATCTCTCCCTCCGTCAATTGTCTACATTCATGCAAGTTCTGCATAGAAGTACAGATGTGAAAACCACATCCAGTATCCATCACCCAAGAGGTGATATCAGACATATTGACTTCGATAACGTAAATTCCTGAGTTAGTTTTGGGGCTGACCTTGGTAATGGTCTCTTAAGCATTGTATCATAGGACGCACTTCCATGTCCGCATGGAGCCTTTGGAGCTCCGCGGTCATACTGGCCATAATGATACACTTTACATCTCGCGCGTCGTCCTCATACTTCTTGAAGGAAGTGAGTTTGGATGCACGAGCATTAGCATCAGGGGTCTTGGGAGGATCCGTTTCGAGGATATAGAGTTTCCTCTCACAGTTAAGAACGATTCGAAGGTTCATCTCCCAGTCAAGAAAAGTTGGTCCCGGATAACTTGTTGTTTTCCAAGATGTAACGCAGGTTGAAAGGGTTGTTGTTGTTTGCCATCTACAGAAAATTTTGCAAACTAGGTTATTAATCATGTTTAATAATTTATTAGGACTTTAATTAATTATCTCCCACTATTTTTAACAAATCAATAACCCTCGATATTGATTCGGAGCTTTCCGGCGAAACCTCTAGTGGGCCAAGATCTATATTTCATTATCTTACGTTCCGCTTGGGCGTTACTCCACAAGACAACTATTTAGGTAGGAACATAGTTAGCCGGGCTCTCAGCTCTTGGTCTATCTCCATTCTTTTAGATTTCTCCAAACGGTCATCAAATCTTTTCGTCTTCTAACCACCACGTGAAAAAAGAATCCTCGGTTGAGGGAAGAGAGAGAAATAGATTTACAACAAGAGTTTAAAAGATAAGGCACGACACGCAGGCCGTATTATAATCAAATAAACTATAGCCACAATCATCCACCATGCATATCATACATCCACACAAGCAATATAGATATACATACACCGGGTGAACCGCGCTCACACCAGTCAGTTCTAGAAAAATACTACGGCAGTAAATATTTTCTAAGACTCATAAAATTAAATTAGATGTCCATATAAATCTAATGAAATTTTATAAAATCATTTTATATACTCTGGATATTCTTCCAGCATATAAAAAACAGAATATTCCAAATGACCAAAATGCCCTTTTGCAAAATTATTTTCGAAAAAGCAATTTAATTTCGAAAAATTTTGCAAAAATCATGAAAATTAAATTTCAACTTCCAGTAATTATTTTCAACATTTATAAACCTGGAAATAAAATTTCCAAAATTTATAAATCATTATTTCCAAAATATATTAGTTAAATCTCAATAAGTTATAAAAAGCCATTTAAATTTTTTTCGAAAACATTAAATTATAAAAATTTAATATTTTGAAAAACATTATTTTTATTACTGAGAAATAACTTTCCAAAATATATATTAGTCATTTA